ATCTTTTGAGTTTTAGGTTTCTCAAAAGTATGCTTGGCCTCCAGAATATCTGGTCCACTTGGTCTGTGTTGTGAGCTGAACATGTGTGATTTAGAGGAGAAAGATAACCAAATATGTTAAAAAAGAAAGTTGTATTTGTCCAGATGTGTGTATCCCAGTTAAGCTTATTATAATCATCATTTAATTTACTCCTATATAGTTGGAAAAACTATGAGAATGGCAAGGTAGTTTCTATGAAAACTGCCTTTTGCATTGGATTTTACTCAAAGCTAGGTGTTAAATGGATTATAGTTGAATCAGGTGTGCACAAGACAAGTAATGAAATATTGGTGGAAAATCTTTTTTTTTTTAATTTTTAAAAAAATATTTATTTACTCTTGAGACAGAGACAGAGCATGAGCAGGGGGAGGGGCAGAGAGAGAGGGAGACACAGAATCCAAAGCAGGCTCCAGGCTCTGAGCTGTCAGCACAGAGCTCAACGCGGGGCTTGAACTCACTGACTGTGAGGTCATGACCTGAAGCTGAAGTCGGATGCTTATCTGACTGAGCCTCCCAGGAGCCCCAGAAATATTGGTGGAAAATCTTGAAAGACTCTGCATCCAGATTTGTTCACAAATGTCTTTAGTTATACTCTTTAAAAGGAATTGGGCACCAAACTGTTGCATTGTAGGAACGTTTTATTAAAGACAAAAGCCACATTGATATATCACTTAGCAAAACCTTGGTCAAATATAGGGTCTTCATTTTATGTTGAAAGTTTATATGATTTACGTTAAAATGAAATATATTTATGACTCCTTTTGGTCAGATATTTTCATTTTCTTACCAGTTACCAGTTTTCCATGTCCTGTGTGTGTGTGTGTTGTGTGTTGTGTGTGTGTGTGTGTGTGTGTGTGTGTGTTGTACATGCTTGGATGCGTATTCAGGTTATATAATCATGGACTCTTAAAACTCTTCAGTCCTTAGAGAAAACAAACCCTGGGAAGTGATGTGGCTTGCTGAATTTCACAACTAATGTAATGGTGCTCTTTTACAGAAATAGTTACTTGATTTTGGTGTGTTTTTTTGCATTACTGATGATGAGCTGTACACTGCTTAGCATAGATGGAACCAGTGATGTAATTTATATAATCTCATTGTCAGCCCCCATATTTGGGATATTCATTGTCTTGTTTTGGTATTAGCATTAAGTAACTTTAGGATTTAGAAAGGCAAGAAGAACTTCTCACATTGTGTCCTATTTCAGAACTTAAATAGGGAACCGTCATGTGTGCCTCATGTTGTCTTTCTTGGGACACTTGTCAACAGTGTTTTGACCCTGAAAGAGGAATCCATAAATCAGTATGCGTCGAGTGCCTCCTGTGTTCAACACACTGTTTAGCTATGGGAGATACCCTTGTGAATAAAAGGAACACAGAATAAAACAAAGTCTCTGGCTTCCTGAGGTTTTTATCTCAGCAATTAAATTAATCTCTAGCAGTTGAATTATTTCACTGTAGGTTGTAAGTGCTATAAAAAGTGGAAAATTTGGTGCTTTGACATTGTATCACTGCAGATCCATACCTAGTCTGAAGAAATAAGGCAGAAAGGGAGAAGAGTGAGGGTCAGGGAAGGCTGCCAAGTGAAATTGACTTTTTAGATGAACTCTAAAGTAAGTGGGAATTGTCAAATGAATGTGAGGGAGAGAAGGGAAATGTGTGGAGGGTGGGTGGGGGTGAACAAACTTGGCAGAGGGATCAGCGTATCTACAGGCTTTGAAATAAGACAGGACGTATTTGAGTTTGAGAAATGGAAAGAGCCCGTGAGTCAGCAGAACAGAAAGGAAGTAAGAGGGTGGAACAGATGGTGATGAGGAAGTAAGCAGGGTCATCCTGGGTATGCACGTTCTTAGAGAAAGTGTTCAAGCTTAGCCCTAAGATCCATGGGGAGTTATCGAAGGGGTTTTGAATCTCTTATCTTGTACTATCATATTTGTGTTTTTAAAAAGATCGCTCTGGCTGCTGTATGGATCCAGAATGATGGGGATACAAAGGTGGTAGACATGGGAAACCGTTTAAAATAAAAGGCCAGGAATAGAATGCTGCCGTAGGAATGGAGATAAAGACATGCAAATATATGTTCAGAGAGGTACACTTAATGGTTTGGTTTTTGCTCTTATACTTTAGTAAAACTTCATTACCTGTTTGCATTTCTAGTTAACTTTCTTAATTTTTGCAACTATTTTGCCAAGATATGACAGAAAGGCTTTAGCGGCCTGCTGTAAATTTTAGAATCTCAGGGTAGGTTTGACTATATCACTTATACCCTTGGTAATATAGGCAATAATTCTCTCCTTATTTAAATTCAAGAAATGAAAGCTTATAATAGTAATAAAATGAATTTTATTTTATTGTGTAATAATCCAAGTGTTTTTATTAGAATAAGAATCATGTGGAGGAATAGTTTAAACAAAGTGAAAAGAGCCTTGACTTGTAGATATAATTTAAGAATAATTGATACTAAGAGCTCTAATAGAAAACTACATGTGGATCAATAGAAGGAAGTGTGGCTGTCACAGAAATTGAATGATTTTTAATTGGTTTTTATATTCATGTTCCATTTTTACCTATTACATAATTTTAGAAAGTACGTCACTATCTTCAGAATATTTCCATAAGTTTTAAAAGATAAATAGTACTAGAAATTTTTAGTAGATGTTTTCCTAATTTACAAAGGGAAGCAGTGTATTCTTCTTCTATCTTCCTAACCTAGAAGAGTTCTTTTGAGTTGAGATTAACATTAAATTTGCACATACTCAGTGGAAGTGAGTTAAGCGAGGAGAAAATAGTGATCTTAGAGATATAGAATACTGTGTTCCCTGTTTTTTTCATCCTCAACATATTTATCTTTTAAGGTAGAAATCCCTATTTTAAATTTAAAATAAATTTTATGTACTTGAATTGCTTATTTTCACTTATTTTGAGTGTTGCTGTCTGTAATGAGTTGAGATGAGTTGAGAACACCTTCTAAAATTAGTAAATTGGAATGGCTGAATGGCTCAGTTGATTGAGCATCTGCCTCTCGAATTCACCTTAGGTCATGTTCTCAGGGTAGTGAGATTGAGCCCTGTGCTGGATTCTGCATTGAGCATGGAGCCTGCTTGAGATTCTCTCTTTCTCTCATTCTGCCCTTCTGCTCATGCTCTCTCTCTTTCTCAAATAATATTAAGAAAATTTTAAATTAGTAAATAGTATTTTGTTTGCAAAATTCAGCAAAATATATCAACTGCATTGTACCATGAAATGTAACAGATATAATATGAAAGTTTAATATTCAGCTTCTAAATTTGTTAGAATGAACCTTGTATCGATTAAATGAGTAATGACCTATACCAACTGATTTCTATTATAAAATTTTGAGGTATGGATGATTTTTTATAAATAACTCAAGCAAAGGTTGAGTTATTTATATGCTTATACAGATTGTGATTCTTTTTCTATTTATTTATTTATTTGTTTGTTTTTAAAGTTGATTTGTTTTGAAAGGGGGGAGGGGCAGAAAGAGAAGGAGAGAGAGAATCCCAAGCAGTCTCCTCACTGTCAGTGTGAAGCCCCATGCGGGGCTCAAACTCACGAACCGTGAGATCATGACTTGAGCCGAAACCAAGAGTTAGATGCTTAACCTACTGAGCCACCCAAGCGCCCTTTTTTCTTTTTTAAATAAGAATAAAGAAAACTCTAGAGACTGCTAGATTTAAATTTTTATTTTTAAATTGAGGCTGAGTATTGTTATTACATGTAGTATATGGTTATATACTATGGCTCGTACAGTACTCTAAATAATGTTAACCCCTTCTCACATCCCTGAGTGCAGGTTACCTTTTTAATGTTAATTTGTTTTTGTGTTCATGTACTTAAAGTTTACTTTTTCTTCCCATGTATGTATCAGAATTATGGTTGTTCATTTAAAAAAATACTGTATTAATAACTTCTGTTTTTATTTGAAAACAAGCGTCTGTTACAGTCCTCAATGCCATTGCCACCTTTAAGATTTCTCCAGAAGTGCAACAATAATCAAGTTAATTTCTTCATTAGCTTCTTTATTACATATATTTGGGCAAATAACATAATGAATTATAGTTTACTTTTTCTTTGCTCTTCTCTCACCCAGCATCTTCATGAGTAGATTCTTTCTTTTATCTACTTGGTTTGTTTCAAAAAAAGGTGAATTAAGTTGAATGCTAATTTAAGGAAAATAGCCCTGGAAAAACTATTTAAAAATATCACTTAATCCAGGGACAGGTGTAAACTGTTTTTGGCTTATCTGTTTTGTTACCTGTTTCACTGGTGTACTAAATTAGCAATGTTTCTTGAGGTTTGTTACTGTTAAAATAGAGTACTAGGTAGCTTAATAAAATTAGTACTCCTCTTTTTCATGGATAGTGACTTTTTATATCATTCTTTAAACTATTTCTGTGGGACTGTATTTCAAATGATCAAGTTTTTAAGTGCTAGTATCTGCAAATGGAAATCAGCCTCCTACTGACGGTATTTGGTTCAGAACTTGGGCTGTATGATTAAGGCGAAGAATGTGGAGAATTCAGTAAGGGTTCAGAAGGAATTGAGAAATGTCTCAAATGCTCTTTTAAAAGCAAGCAAAAACATTCTGAATCCCTAATTTATTCTTACATGTGGGGTGAGAAATTACATGATATACCTGTTGTCAGACTCATTTCAGATATAACTGGAAAAACTATTTTTCTATTTATTTTACGTACTTAGAAAGTATTTTTAAGCTGTGGCAGATAAAATATTTCAAATAATATTGTTCAAAGACCTAATCAAGTAGATTTGATATACCTTGGGTCTTGTGAAAAGGAGGACTAAGATGTAATAGTAATTAACTGAACAAAATCTCATTATAAATAAATTCAGTCTCTGTGATGATCATGTTGTCTGTTAGTCATTAAAATGAATTTATACTTTCTGATTAAAACATTTATATAATGTGTTTTTTATAAGGTCAAAAGAAATAGACTGGCAACCTTATTTTACTACACGCATTGTAGATGATTTTGGCACACACCTACGAGTATTCAGAAAGGCTCAACAGAAGATAACAGAGAAAGATGATCAAGCAAAAGGTAATATGTTTATTGCCTTTGAAAATTAGGACTTTAAAATCTGTTTTTCTTTATTATTCTGCATTTCTTGAATTGTTCTTTTCTTTGTCCAGGTACAGCAGAAGATCTTGTGGATACCTTCTTTGAAGTTGAAGTTGAAATGGAGAAGGATGTTTGCCGTGATCTAGTGTGCACTTCTCCCAAAGATGAAGAAGGTTTTCTTTTCAATTTAAGTCTTTGGAGAACAGTGTGCAGAATGGTTAGAGACAAGTTAGCAGAACAACGAATAGAAGGGTAAAAGGTGAAATTATTTTTACAGGAAAGGTAGCATAGTGTAGACACTGTCACTATTCATTGTATTTTTTTTTTTAACTATTAAAAGTAGTTTCCAGATTATTTTTTTTAAAGTCATCTTTAAAATTTGAAGATTAGATTAGAGATTACCTCTCTTTTAAAATATAGCAAGCACAAACATTTTATGATTGTATATTCAGTTTTTATGATCTGTAGTAGATTATCTTCTCCTTGAGTTAGTTTATCATTTCTACTTCAAGAGTACACTGTTACCCTAAAATATTTTCTAGAAGAATGAGTATAATTTCAGATAAAATTTATGGAGTTGAATGGACTTGTACTTTCTTTGTCAGAGGTTAGACTAGATAAGTTTTAGCTGAAGATGTCTTTTTTTAGTTTTATAGCCACTGAGAAAGAGTCAGAAAGAGTCTTTGCTACGTGACACATTTTTTGTTGTTGTTAACAGGATTGGCTGTATAATTACATTTCCAGGAAATGTTAGCATATGAACAACTACAGAAAAGCGATTGTAGTTGTGCAAACTGTTTTCTTTGACTTCTACAATGTGCTCAACTTTTTGTTTTCCTCTTGTATCCTTTTTTCTTCTTTCCTTTTTATATTTATTGTGCAATGCAATTTTTAATTGCCATTTCCTTAGCACTGACCTGAAATAATAACCAAATGGAAGAAATAGAGTGATGTGCGTAGATTGAGCCCTCATAAATTAGTAACGTAGAAGAGCTTAACTTTTTCTTTTGTTATTATCTGACAGAATAGTGGAAGTTCTTTCTTTGAAAAAAGAAATACAGGTATATTTTAAAATATGCAAGAAGCTTTTACGTATACAAGGTAATTTGTAGTAGAAGTGTAGAATACACAGTACAGCTAAAACTGTTTTGGGGAAAACACTTTTATAATTGAAGTTTCTCAATGATTCAAAATAGGGTAAAACTGAGAGAATAAAAAAAATATTAGTTTGATTAATGAATAGTTACTGTTTGGAGAATAATGAAAAAACTTTAATGAATACTACATGGACTAATTAATTATTGAAATAATAAACTTGTATAATCAGCCGCTTATTTCTGCCTTTTTGTGTTTTTTTTAATCAAGAGTAGGTGGAGATTTTATATTTTCTAATGTAACGGCCACCTTTTTCATTTCTAGGATTCCTAAGGGATCTGTGTGAGGTCTTACTATATTTATTGCTACCTCCTGGAGATTTCCAGAACAAGATCATGCGATACTTTGTCAGGGTAAGTATAAACTCCTATTAAATAAATGTCTGAAGAAACTTAGAGTAATAATTTTCAAAATATTTGGTCTCAGGACCGTGTGAAACTCTTAAAACTCATTGAGGACCCCAAAGAGTTTTTGTTTACATGGGTTTTTGTTTACAGATTTATCTATCAATATTTACTGTATCATAAGTTAAAACTAAGAAATTTTGAAACAGAAGAATGCACAAGCACACATTCCATTAGTTAATTGATGTATCATCACACCATCATGTTCGTTTCTGAAAATAACACTGTGTGTTTGTCTCCCTCCATCCCTCAGAGGTCTCTGGACAACACTTAGACAAACTCCCTTAGAGTCAGATACTGGGATTTTGGGTTATAACAAGGATGTGTTTTAGATTTTATTTAATATAGCTTTACCTATAAACTTACTGGAATGAGGCTAATTAAAATAATACTTCTGGATAGAAACTTAAAAAAAAACCAGACAGTTAAGATTCTGCTTCTTATAATTAGAAAATGATTAAGTGGGATGAGAACAGTAGTTTTGGAATTTTTATGTCCTGTATGTAAACATTTGGAGTAAAATTCCAAATATGGATATAAAGGAATAATATTTTGGTTTTGGCTGCTGGTTATGATTGAGAAATGCTAGCTAGCTACAACTATTATGCTGGTTGAATGGATAAAATGAAAGCTTCTAATTTATATGAAAAGGAAAGCTTAGAATCTTTTTAGTCTATCATCCAGCAAAATAGATACTAATTGCTGAGGTGTGCTTTTATGCTTATATGTTATTATTTAAGCAATACCACACAATTTCTTAGTACCTACCTAAGTTGAGGTCAGTGTCCTTCTCAAGTAGGGTAGTGGTACTGTGAATTAGGTAGAAAATGATTGGTTTTAATAGGAAATGTCTGATAGATGATGTATTGTTAAGACCAATTATTTGGGCTAGTCATTATCACGGGTGGTAAAATACCTGACAGGTCAATCGCTAGATTTCACAACTGCCACTGAAGGAAGATACTGGTAGTCAGTTATAGCATTCATTCACAGAATCTTTGTCTTCCTGGTACATTAGACAGCCACTGCTAGGCAGTGTCTCAGCTACTTCCTTACGGCTGACAATCTTTTCCCTCTTGAAATTCTGTCTTGTCTCGGGTTCCATGTCATTGCTCTCTTGATTTTTCTCTTCACTTGGTCTCTTTTTTAGTCCTTTTTAGATGCTTTAACTCCTCTTATATCTAACTTTTAAATACTTAAGTTCTTAATCCTAAGCCCTCTTCTTACCCATTCCTATGCCTTTAAAATCCATCCAAGTGCTAATGACTTTCAAATTTATATCTTGGTACAGACTTCACTTATGAGTCCCAGGCTACTGTGACCTGCTGCCCACTGAAATCACCATTCGATTGACCTTTTAAACTTCAAATGTCCAAAATGGATATCTTACTCTTGTTTCCATGTCCTCTCTTGCCTTTTAAGTCTTTTCTCCATCCTAGCCAATGCCATGACCATCAAGTAAATTTTTCACATCTTGAGTTCTTCCAGAGATTTGCAAGGCCATGCGTGATGTGGCCTTGTTTACCTCTCTGGCCTTTGTGCCATGCAGTCACTGTATTCCAGTGATACTGATTTCTCCAAAAGTGCCATTTTCTCCCTACCATAGGGCCATCTTATACTCTTTTTTGTCTTCTCAGAATGGTTCCCCTTATTTTCTTGGGTAAATTGTCTACATCTTTCATATCTCACCTTCTCAGAAATGCCTCCCCTGACCACCCAATCTAAACTTCCCTCATAATTCCCTATTACCATACGTAAGTAAACAGTTACTTTCCTTCATAGCATTTGCCATATTTAATATTATAACTGGGTTGTTGTGTTTATTTACTTGCTGCCTCTTTCTGCCAGTAGTACTGTGAGCCCCATAAGGACAGAGGACATATCTGTATCATCATTATGTACTTAATGGCTATCATCACACCTGGCACATAGCAGATACCCAGTCAGGAGAATTAGTTTTAGTAAGAGGAAACCTGTTTGCCCTTCTTGCTGCTGTGGTGTACATGCTACTTTAGCTTCTTGAAGATTAAACTGACTTTTAGGAGATGTGAATGAAGATGTGCCTTATTACATGAGGTTATATTTTAAATAAGTAGGATTGTTTAAAAAGCAAATATATTTTGCTATAGATTGCTCTTTTAGACCATTATTTCATTTCTTTATGTTTGAATAATTATAGGGTACTATATTCAGCAAATCAGTTTTTTCTTTTTTTCTTTCAGCTTGATGGTTGATCAGTTTTCTTTTGTTGGTAATTCAGGTTTTCCCCAAAGATACTTTTGATCAGATTAAATAACAGATTAAAGAGTTGTTACTTATTTCCTTTATAGGGATCCTTTATATGGATTGTACAAATCACAGAACTTGACTGCAATAATTGCTATTTAGTCATGTCTGCTTTCTTTCCATTACCATGTTTTATTTAAAGATTCATGGCCTTAGTGACTTTGTAGCTTTTAAGCCTTCATATTGGACAGCTGGCGCTTCTGTCAAAGTAGAAATTATAAGGAAAAGGCTACCTATTTTGGAATGTTGAGAGCTTTCACTAGAACCTGTATAGGAATTGTTGAGTCATAGGATTACATCTTGACTAACCAGACCCTTTCATGAGGCAAATTAGAAGATCAAAATAATTTTCTAAGACAGATTGACAGATTGCATTGACTAATAAGAATCACTAGATCTATTCAAAATTCTTTCCCACATGTGTTTTTTTCTTATTTTGCAAAGAAACTTACAAAAAACTTGGTTTTATTTATGCATTTTCTTCTTACATAGTACATTTAAAAATTTGAGCATATGAGTTCACCTGGGTGGCTCAGTCGGTTGGGCGGCCGACTACAAGCTCAGGTCATGATCTCGTGGTGTGTGAGTTCGAGCCCCGCGTCAGGCTCTGTGGTGACAGCTCAGAGCCTGGAACCTGTTTCCAATTTTGTGTCTCCCTCTTTCTCTGCCCCTTCCCTGCTTGCTCTCTCAAAAATAGCAAACATTAAAATTTGAGCATATGTGGCCAGAGACATAACTTGAAGGAATGAATTATATAAATATAATTTTTAAAATCTGGAGGCTGAAGCTAATCTTGAAAGAATGAACAATTACTTCTAATTTAAGACTGTAAGATGTCTTAAAAGATGCTTGAAAAAGTTATTGGACCTGCCTCACATTGGGCATAGAGATGACTTTAAAAAAAAAAAAAAAGATGTGCCTAGCTGGCTCACTTGGTAGATTATACCACTCTAGATCTCAGGGTTGTGAGTTTGAGCCCCACTTTGGGTGTAGAGATTACATTTAAAAAATGTGAAGAAAAGAAAGGAATTATAAAACAGAAAGTTATTGGAACCTTCATGGATGCCTTTTGGAAATGTTAATTCATCCTTAGGTAATAGTTGTCAGAGACTTGCACAGCTTACAAGAAGTAGAATGTATATAAGATAACTCACTGAAGGAAAATAAAGTGAAGGCTACCTTTATGAACTTATTATATTGGAAAATGAACCAGATAAGTTAGAGATCTTGGTAAAAGGAATAAATAAATTGGTCCTTTAATTAGAGAATCAAACATCCTGTTAAACTGACATTTATTTAGCCTTTCCAGTATTCTTAAGAAATGGTGTTTTATAAATTTAGATATCACATGCGTAAAAGGATGAAGATTAATAATGGGTGAAAATATGATATAAATAGGATCAGCACTAAATTCTTAATTTGCTTTATTTCCATTCCTTTAATATTTATCAAATGCCTGCCATGTTTAAGACAATGACCTTGAGTAAATATTTTTGAAGATAAATAAATCAGTAGATCAACTAATAAACGTCACTTATATACAGAAGGTTCCTGGATATTTGCGGTGTTTCAGAGAAGTAGAAGATAACACAATTACATGGGGAATGATAAGTGATAAATGCCATAAATTCAGGGCACGAGTGTATCTTAAACATGTAAGTAAAAAAGTGTTCAGCTGGAATGATCAGGGTTTAATTTGATTGGATTTCATTCTGTAGTCAAGGGCAGGATTTTAATAGGTTGCAGAGTAAACAGTTGTAAAGAATGAGAAGATATAGTCTAGAGAAAGATGAATAATTATATTACCATATTATTTTTTTATTTTCTCTTAGGAAAAATTTCAAACACAGAAGTATAGAGAATAATGCAGTAGACATTTATGTACCAACTACCAAAATTTAACCACTGTTAATGTTTTGCTATAGTTGCTCTTTTCCTCCCTTGAAGGTAACCACTATTTTACAATTGGTGTGTATCTTTTCCTATTATCCTTCATTTTTATTCTTTTAATTAGATGTAGGAATTCATAGACACTTGGTGCCATGGTTTGCCTTCTAAAACTTGACATAAATGCTAACATACTAGAGATACCCTTCTGCTTTTTTCTACTCAACTCTAGATGTCATTGTGGAGATACAGCCAAGTTGATACAGGTAGCTTTATCTCATTTATTTTAACTGAGGTGTATTAGGTCATCTTTTTATAAGATGTGTTGATTATCAAGTTTTACATGTGTCATATCTTTCTTAAGTAACAGCATTATGTTATTTACATTATGCTATTGATTTGAGAAGTATAAGTTAAATTTGCTTTTTTTTACATTTTTGGTGCAGGAAATCCTTGCACGAGGAGTTCTTCTTCCATTAATAAATCAACTCAGTGATCCTGATTATATTAATCAATATATCATATGGATGGTATGTACTTTCTAAAATTACAACTCTGTTTTTAAAGCATTTCTTTAAAATTTAGAAATAATATCGGGGGATCAGGATGATCAAGCAATAATTTATTGAATAAATTAGGTAAAAATATATTTATAGATAATCTTTATGTTTCTGGTATTTCTGGTTGCTCATAGGTTGAATGTGCTAGACAAATTCATTGTAAGAAGTTTGTTGATATGATAATCCTCTCACAATTTTGGTATTGTTACCACTTATTTAAATTTAAAAAAAGGATGTTTTCCTGATGGAGCGTATAGATTATGAGTACTTTTAAAAGCTGCTATTTGGTTTCAAACACGGCTGTGGTCTGAACTACTTAAATATATGTACTTTATGTTTTATACTATATAGTGGAGGAAAATGGGGTAGGAAACCTGGACTGAGAATGGGAGCCTGTGTGTTTTAGGTTTGTTTCTGTAAGTTGCTTAGTGTGTATATAAGTAGCTAACTCATAGTTTTCTCATCCTGGCAGACATACCAAAGGGTTAGTGATGATTAAATTTAGTAGTTATAATTATTTTTGTGTGATTATATATGGCTTTCCTCAATAAATTCATGGTCAAGGAAGTACTGTAAATGGGGTGTTGCTGGGAATACTTTGATAAATACTTCTAGATCTTTGATTCATTTTCTTGAATTGGAATTTTTCCAGTAACGCAGTCTAGTTTTCGTAGGAGAGAGTTACTTTATTTATTGTTCTTTGTTTCCAGTAGCCATTATCAAACTAGCCATTGTCAAACTATGGAGGTCACACAACTTGATTCTTCTTTTCCTTTATCCTACTAGGCTCTACCAAAAGCTTTAAAAATATGTATATCTGTCTAATTAAAATTTTTACAAATACGTATCCTCTGGTTAGGAATTCTACTCTGAAATTTATTCTAAAGTAGTAATAAGTTTGAAACAAAGGCCATTAATGGCCGTTGCTTATAATACTGAAAACTTGAAAGCTTTTTAAGTGTTCTACATAGAGGATTGTGTAATTATGGCATATTGACACAGTAGAATATTTTGCAGCCATTGAAAAGAATGATGATGGTAGTGTATCTTGAATATGAAAACATGTTTATATTTTTAAGTTGAAAAGGATAACTAAAAGTGATGTGTGTTTGTAGATAATGCTTTTTTAAAAACAAATATGTAAATATTTATTAATGATTGTATAATTCTGATAGTGTATATACTGATTGAAATGTTAATAGAAAGGTAGGATTATGATAGTTTTAATTTTTCTCTTTTGTTTATATATTTCATTTTATATGGAATATTGGGTATATAACAAAAAAGTAATGTTTTAAGAAATAGGAAAATACAGGTAAAATTTAAAAACATTTAAGTAATAAAATAAGGGTAAAAGGTATTAAAACATTTTATTATAACACCAGAAAATGGATGTTTTATGCTGTATAATCTTACCTGTGTTACAGAAAAGGGTGCATGTTCACCAGAATGTTATCTCTCACTCATGGGATTAGGAAGTATTTTTATTCCTATTTATATTTTTCTTTAGCTTTCAATTTTTCTTTTGCTGACCTTGTATTAACTGTATAATTAATTGTATGGTGAAAACATTTTGGGGGAGAGATTTAACATATAGATAGTCTAAAAAGAATTCAAAACACCAAATTTTTACTTGTTCTTCCCACACTTGGGCTTCTACTATTGTGTATGATGCTTGTGTTTTTTTGCTATTTAATGAACAGGAATTGATCACTATTTTACTTGCAACACAATATCAGAAAATATATTTAAAAGAGAAGAGTTTATCAATAAAGGATCTCTAGCCTACTTGTGGTCGGGTTTACAGTCTTTTGACATTATTTGTGTGGAAAACCTTGTATACATAGGTATTATAGACATTAAAATAAGCTCAGTTCTTAGTTCAGTTCACTTCTATCAACTTAGTGTACAGTTCATTTCTATTTGAAACGAAAAGTTTAGAGCAGTTTATTATTTGTTTATTTATTTTTGAAAGAGAGGGCACAAGTGAGTGAGGGCCAGAGAGAGAGAGAGACAGGGAGAGAGAAAACTCCATGAGGCAGAGAGAAAGAGAGAGAGAGGGAGAGAAGTGGGGCTCACCTGAAGCAGGGCTCAAGCTCACCTGATGGGGGATCTCGAATTCAAAAACCATGAGATAATGACCTGAGCCAAAGTCTAGTGCCTAACCACGTGAGCCACCCAGGCACCCCAACAGCAAGCAGTTTAGTAGTAACATATTTTCTCTCTGTATAAAATGTTAGTGTTGCCCAAAAGTATTTTTTTTTAAGTTTTTTAAAATTTATTTTGAGAGAGGCAGAGAGGGAGAGCGAGAATCCTAAGCAGGCTCCCTGCTGTGAGCACAGAACCCTACTCAGGGCTGGAGCTTACAACCTTGAGATCATGACCTGGGCAGAAACCAAGAGTCTGAAGCTTAACTGGAAGCTTAACCCACTGAACCACCCAGGCACCCCACCCCACAGTTTTAAGTCATTTCTAAAAATAGTATGGGTGAATTTGCATTATTCATCTCTGAGTATGTATTTTTTTTAATACAAACTAATTAAGGATAAGTCTTATCTTTTACTGTGGAATAGATTACTTAATTGGCTTATATTCTTATCTCTAACTAGAGCAGATGAATGGACAGCTGTTAATTTGTTTCTTAATGTATTCTTAGAAAAATCAAGACTTTAATAACCTACCTTTTTTTTAATCACTCAAGTAAAATTTACATGAAGTAAAAGAAATTGCCAAGTGGTCTTCCGAAGTTGTGTTCTAATTTTGCACTTTGGTAGTACCATTTGAGAGTTTTTGTGTCTCCACTTTCTGGTCAGCATTTGGCATTGTCGTTTTGTTGTGGTTAACTTGCATATCTAAATGATATTTGAGCATCTTTTCATACACTTACTGGCCAGTTTTTCCTTAGTTCTGAACTTAAACAATCACTAGTTTTTTGACCTCTTTGAAGAATGGGTAATATCTCAAGTCGGCTACCTTTTCATAGATCCCCTTATTGCTTTACTTAAATTTTATTGGCAGTCACAGTGGTTAGTCACTTCATAATATCCTTGACTACTTTTTCTCCCTCTATCTTTGTTATTTGCTTAGTGCAACCACACTCTGGTTAAATTCAGCTCTACTGTCCACCCCATTCCTGTTCTTAAACAGCACGTGGCTAGAGAAAAAGACAAAATGACAGAGTTATTTATGTCATCACATTGATTCTGTGCAATTTAGGTCACAGAATGTTACTTTTCTCTTTAAAACCCTCCAGTAACTTTTCATTCCGCTCAGAGTAAAAGCCACAACACATATTGTACGCTGCCCGATGTGCCTTCCATTGCCACTAATCTCGTCTTCTACTCCTCTGCCTCTTCCCGGGACCATGAGTACAGAGGTTTTCATTTTGTTTTCTTATACGCACTGGAATAAACACTTGCTGTAAGGTTCTGCCTAGCACATGGTAGGCACTGAAGATTCCTTTTTTCCTTAATAAGTCCCCCTCGCACATATTGTTTGAACTTTTTTTATAGATCCGTGATTCTAATTGCAACTATGAGGCCTTTATGAACATTATTAAATTGAGTGACAATATTGGAGAGCTAGAAGCAGTCAGAGATAAGGCAGTAGAAGAATTACAGTATCTTCGATCTCTAGATACGGTTGGTGATGGTAAGTCATTTAAGTATGAAAATGTCTTCTTTAATCATTACTATATCTCTAAATAAAACTTTAATTTGCCTAAGTGTCATTTTATGCTATTTTTTACCTTAACTGCATCTAAATCTTTATTATGTTAACATGTGCTAAGAATAAAAGCATTATAATTTCCTGAATGTGAGGCAATTAATACTGTAAGTCTCTAAAAATAATTGGCATGGTTTAACTTTAGTTAAATAATTTCACCATAAAATTTCAGATTATTTCTCTTATTGTTTGCTCTGTTCATTGGTTATTATGTTAAAGTAAGTGCATGTTTAAAGTATTTCATAAATAATATTACCGATTTCTAGCTCACAATCAATTTGTTTGTTTTTAGATATCAACACTATCAAAAATCAAATAAATAGCTTATTATTTGTAAAAAAAGTATGTGACTCAAGAATACAGCGGTTACAGTCAGGCAAAGTAAGTACTTTCTAATTAATGTTTAGTTACAAGTACTTTAAATTCATTTAAATATCTAGCAAATAACAAGAATTGGGATATTAACCAGTGTAGCCCTCCACAAAAGGCCTTGCAGAAAACTTTTTGGATACACTGTATTATCCTATATTAAATGAAGCTAAAGAGATTAAAAACTTCCTGAATAATGCTACAGTAATTAAATGTTTTTTATTTATTCATCTATTCATTTGCTATTCAAAATTCAACCTTTACATAATTTTATACAGTGGGCACCATTTTAGATGGATGTAATAGACAAAATCTCTCTCTTCGTTGAACTTAACATTTTAGTTGCAGAATCAAAAAATAAACCACTAAGTAAATTAATATATAATGCTAAAAAATGTACAATATGAAAAATAACAAGTAAAGCAAACTAGCGGGATAGAGAATGTATAAGACTGTTTTAGATAGATGCTGACTGATTTGGTGACATGTGAGCATAGAGAAATCTGATAGATTAATGAGAAAGTCCTGAGAATTTTTGTCTTTTATTGATCTTTCAGGCAAAGATAAAAGCATATACAAAGGTCCTGAGATAGGAAAGTGTTTGCTGAGTTAGAGCAGGTCAGTATGGCTGGTATACAATGAATGAGAAGGGATTATATTAGGAATGAAACTGGAGAGGAACCTTGGGGGTTAGATCATATATAGTTTTATCTGCCATGCAAAATTATTTCAAAATTCTAATTATGACGGGAACCCATTGGAGATTTGTTCTGGCGACTGACATGATCTGACTTACGAGTTAAAATGACTACTTTGACTCTTGGTGATGATTAGATTGTGGTGGAGTTGCGGGGGACAAGAATGGAGACTGACAGATCATTTAGGAGACTACTGCTTTAGTCAAGTAAGAGATGTCTACAGAGGTTGTGAGAAGTAATTGAAGACTGGATATAGTACTGACAGATTTACTAAGAGATTAAATATGGAGTGAGAGAAAAAAAAGGACTCAAGGAGGATTCCTAGAATTTTTGGCCTGAGCAACTGCATGAAAAATGTTGCTATTTACATTTATAAAATGGATAATACAGGGAAGAGGAGTTTTGGCAGAGAGAATTCAATTTTCATGTTTTAGTTTGAGATCCCTGTTAAACAGTCAAGTCAACCCACTAATTGGTAAACTTTGTAGTTCAAGGGAACGGTCAGTGATGGCCTAAACTTTGAGGATCCTCAGGATTATTAGACAGTTATTTAAAGTTGAGACTGGATGGATGAGGTTTCTTACAAGAGTGAAGGTGAGTAAGAAGATACCAAAGACTTAGTTCAGTGGCACTATAGTTACTAGAGTTTAAGACAAAGTGGAAGATCTAGCTAAAGAAACAGCTAAGTCGCTGATGAAATTAAAGCAAAACCTGGGAGTGTGATATTCCAGAAGCCAAGCATAGAAAGTTTTTAAAGAAGTGAGAGATCACATATTTCAAAGGCTGCTAATAAGTTGAGTAAGATGAAGACTCAGAATTGGCCATTAGATTTGCCACCAGGGGAATATTGGTGATCTGATCATAGCATTTTGGAGTAGTGGAGAGAAACTGTAAGTGAAACCAGTCCAGGAGAAAATGGGAAAAGATGAATTAGAAATAGTGATTATAGGCAGCTGTTTGGAGGAGTTTTGCCCTGCAGAGGAGCAGAGAAATGGGGCTTTAAAACAGAAAAAAAGCAGTTTTTACTGCTTTTAGTTTTTAGGGTAGTCAGGGTTTTTTTGGCTGATTTTCTATTTTGGAAATTTATTGTGACTCTCTGGGCTTGTAATTTTGCAGTGTATTTAAATTTATTAAGGAACAGGAGACTAATTTTTGTAAATCTTGGTTTAGTTTGCTGGATTAATTATAACTGACCTTACTTGAGGCCACATTTGTCGTATACCTGAGTATATGTGTATGTATGACTGTTCTAGTTAAGTGTTATTTTAAAATTATATACCCGTGCAAATTCAGAATGGAAGAATGGTATGATTTCACTTATGGTTAGTTTACCTTATCTAGACCTTAGAGTTAGTGATCCTTCATCATCATTATTTAAAGTCCATTTGTTGGGACACCTTTTGATAGCAAATCCTTTTAAAATTTAGATGTCTTGTTTGAAGCTCGTCATTTCTATTTTGAATATCAAGCTTCACCTTTTTAGTAGTGCAGGTCATACAGTAGTTTTTCTTTGAAAGAAAAATCAGAATCCCCACAGAGGTGAAGTTTTTTAACCGTACTACCCATCTTGAAGTCTTAGAAGGCCCTTTATCTTTTTTATTACTAATAAGGTTGCAGTGAATACTCTTCTGCATCCCTTATCTCTGGAGCTGCTTCTGGGAAGGATAAAAAGGGATAAATTTGAAGAAAGAAGATTTAGATAGGAGAAATCATATGCTGGCATTGTGTTACTTTATGCCAAA